TGATTGAACTGCTCTTGCTTACTTGGATTGTCGTCTTTGATTGTTAATTTATATTTTTGTTATCTAGGATATCAATACTACAGAAACCTGTGCGTTGCTTACTAAAAACTTGTGCAGTTTGATGTAATTGATAATAAAGATTCTGAATCAAAATCAGGGGCGAAACTGTGTAGGGGCGGAACACCAAGGATCCAGTGAAATTTCTCTAAAGTTTTCTAGAGTTATATATTGTGTGGTTGAGATTTACTGGCAAGTCACATCAGAAAAATTGATGTGACTTACCAGTAAATCTCAACCACACAATGTAATACTCTAGGAAACTTTAGGAAAAAATCAATCTAGAGGATCCTTGCTCGGGGCGGAAGGGGTCTTGGCCCCTTTTGATTTTTTACAATTTATTATTACTTTTTTATTTATGAATATTTATAAAAATATATAATGGGATGAGTTTTTAATTTTATAAAAATTATCTTACTAACTTTTTACTTCATTGATATTTAACAATGTATAATGAAAATGATTCCGAATAATTTTTTATTTTAAATAATAGTATCAATTTTATCGAGTTAATTTTATTAATACAAAAGGTAAATATTATTTATTCTTTTAATTTTAAAATAAAACAGTATGCATACCTTTTTATGAGTAATGCTAGACAACCAAAAATTTTACTCCTAAATTTATTCACAATAGCATAACTGGAGTTGAGTCTTAACTGATTGACTTCTAAATAATCAACTAACATGTCACATTCAATGTTATTGAGTACAAGTTTAAAGGTCCTATTTTAGAGATCTTAAGAATTTTTCACTTCTTGTGTACTAAATTATATTAATCAATAAATAGTTTAAAATAGTGGTTTAACCGATTATAAACTTAGATCTAATAGTTCAAAAATTGTAAAAATTTAAAAAAACTATTTATTAGATTTATATAATTTTTTCATGAAATACTTCTTTCACAACGCTTATATAAGAAGTTATATTCAATTGCAAATGTACCAAAACTAACTCAATATTTTTTATGCATATATATTGGCCTCTCCTAAACAAAATCCCTGGTTCCACCCCTAATCAAAATGTTTAGGACAGAATATTTTTTTCTTAGAAGGTGTTTTCTGTTGAAACAAAAGGAACGGTAGTTTCAAGAAGAGGGAGAGGGCCAAGGAAGTCACTCAGTATATTTTGAGTCAGTCCCCTTCCAATGAGAAGTGCCATCCTTTTATCATCCTCTTGTTTTCTTATTGTCTTAAATGATTGTAAAAGGAACCTCTTTATTACATTTCTTTATTGAAATCTGATAAAGTCTTTTCTTTCCTTATCTTGTCCTTATTAATATATTAGTTTCTCTCGTTTTATGTTTTTTTTTTTAATCAAAATCTTGAATATATTGACTTAGCATAGTAGAACTCTGTTGATACCATCATTAAAAAATCTAGAAATTCCTTAAATGTTGATTTGTGATTATGTATCAATTTTAAGTAGTAAATAACAATCTCAATCAAACAATCAAGACAAATCGACACAATGATTTTACGTGAAAAAACC